TTTTATTTTATTTATTATTTTTAAAGATTTTATTTATTCGAGGGAGAGAGAGAACAAGCGCATGCACACAGAGGGAGAGGGAGAGGGAGAAGCAGACTCCTTGTTGAGCAGGGAGCCTGATGTGGGGCTCCATCTCACGACTCTAGGATCATGATCTGAGCCAAAGGCAGATGCTTAATTGACTGAATCACCCAGGTGCCCCAAGTGTCACATTTTAATTTCTTTAATGATTTTCTAGCTAATTTTTTTAGGATATATTCTAGTGGTTGGTTTAGGGCTTAGAAAATTTATCTTTTAGAATATATACCTTATTTATACTAACTTAATTGTAGTATGATACAGAGACGTTACTCCTATATAGCTCTATTTTTGTGTGTGCTATTATTACTATACATATTACACCTATATGTGTTACAAACACACAAGAATACATTTTTACATTATTATACTTATTTATATAATTTTATGTATGTTTAAGGAACTGAGAATAGAGCTAGTATTTATAGAACTTATATTAATCCTTCTAATTTACCATTTTTAATTCTCTTCATTTGTTCCTGAATTTACCATCCAGTGTCTTTTCCTTACTTCACGCCAGCTTTGCTTCTACCTGCCTCTTTTTGATGTCATTGTCAAATATGTTACATTTCTATGTAATAGCCCCCTTAACATAGTTATATACATATCACTTTGTGTAAAATTGCTTTTAAAATCAGTTAAGAAAGGAAAAGAAATATGGAAATATGCTTTTTGTAATTACCTATATAATTATCTTTACTAGCACTGTCTTGTTTTGTAAATTCAAATTACTCTCTGGTATCACTTGCTTTCAGCCTGAAGAATTCCTTTAATATTTCTTGTATATGATGATTCTGCTACCAACAGATTCTCTCAGAATATTTTTATTTCATCCTTTTGAAAGATAGTTTTGTTGGGTTTAGAATTCTTGGTTGATAATATTTTTGTTTGAGCCTCTGAGTATGTCTTCCCACAGTCTTCTGACCTTTATTGTTTCTGATGAGAAGTCAGCTGTTACTCTTATTACAATTCCCTTATATGTGATTGGTTTTCTCTTGCTGCTTTCAAGATATTCAGTCTTTCAACGTTTTGATTATGATGTATTGGTGTGGATCTCTATATTTATGCTACACAGAGTTCATTGAGCTTCTCAGATGTGTAGATTATTTTTCCATTTATTTGAGTCTTTTCCCACTTCTTTCATCAAGTGTCTTATAGTTTGCAGTGTACAGATCTTTCACACCCTTGTTTAAATTTATTCCTAGGGTTTTTTTTTTCTTTTAAATATAATTGTAAATGGGATTGCATTCTTAACTTCTCTAATAGTTCTTTATTAGTGTATAAAAGCATAACTGATTTTTGTATCCTGCAACTTTACTGAATTTGTTTACTAGTTCTAACAGTTTTTTTGGTAGAGTCTTTAGGGGTTTCCATATGTAATATCATGTTATGTGTAAATAGAGATAGTTTTACTTCTTCCTTTACTATTTGGATGCCCCTCCCCCCTTTTCTTGCCTAATTGTTCTGGCTAGGATTTCCAATACTATGTTGAATAAAAGTGGTGAGAGTGGGATATTGTTCTTGATCTTAGAGGAAAAACTTTCAGCTTTTCACTGTTGTTAGCTGTGGGGCCTTATATATGGCCTTTGTAATGTTGAGGCATGTTCCCTCTACACCCCCTATATTGAGAGTTTTTATCATGAATGGATGTTGAATTTTGTCAGTTGCTTTTTCTGCACCCATTAAGCTGATCACATGATTTTTATCCTTCATTTTGTTAATATTGGTGTATCATATTAATTGGTGATTTGCAGATATTGAGCCATCCTTGCATTCCTGGAATAACACCCATTTAATCATGGTAGAATCATGATTCTTTAAATGTGTTGTTGAATTTGATCTGCTAGTATTTTGTTGAGGATTTTTCATCTATGTTCATTGGAGTAATGGCCTGTAATTTTACTTTTTTGTAATTCTCTTGTCTGGTTTTGGTATCAGAGTAACGCTGGCTTTGTAAAATGAGTTTGGAAGTGTTTCTTTTTATTTTTTGGAAGAATTTGAGAAATTTTGGTATTAATTATTTGACACTTCCATGGAACTCACCAGAGAAGCCATCTGGTTCTAGAGTTTTTCTGTTGGGACACTTTCGATTATGGATTCTAATTTTAGTATTTGTGCTGCTGAAGCAAGCACTTGATTATGGATTCAAACTCCTTACTAGTAATTGGTCTATTCAGGTTTCCTGCTTTTTCATGATTCAGTCTTGGTAGGTAATATGTTTCTTCTAGGCTGTAAAATTATTTGTAGAAAGTCTTTCATGATCTTTTGTATTTCTGTGATATCAGTTGTAATATTTCCTTTTTCATTTTCATATTTTATTTGAGTCCTCTGTTTTTTGTTTTTTTTTGGGGGGGCAGAGGTGGTAGTGATTTTAGTTAAAGGTCTGTCAGTTTGGGGATCCTTGGGTGGCTCAGTGGTTTAGCACCTGCCTTTGGCCCAGGGCATGATCCTGGAGTCCTGGGATCGAGTCCTATGTCGGGCTCCCTGCATGGAGCCTGCTTCTCCCTCTGCCTGTGTCTTTGCCTCTCTCTCTCTCTGTGTCTCTCATGAATAAATAAATAAAATCTTTTTTTAAAAAAAAAAGGTCTGTCATTTCTTTATCTTTTAGAAGAACCAGACCTTTGTTTTATTGATGAATATTTTTTCTATTGTCCTTTTAGTCTACTTCATCTATTATCTGCTCTGGTCTTTGTTTCCTTCCTTCCACTGTCTTTGGGCTTTGTTCTTTTTCTGGTTCCTTAAGATGTAAAGATTGGCTATTTATTTAAGATTTTCTTATTTCTTGATATAGGCATTTGTCCTATGAACTTCCTTCTTAGAACTGCCATAACTGCACTCCATAAGTTTTGGTATATTATATTTATATTCTCATTTGTTTCAAGATTTTTTTATTTCTTTTTGCTTTATTTCTTCAGTCTTTTTTTTCTCAGAAAACTTTCTATAACTTCTATTCCCTTTCAAGTTACTATGCAGATTACATTTATCCCTTCTCTTTTATTTTCCTTAAAGAGTTAATACTTGGTTCTGTACTTCCTTATCTGATAATTCACTCAATCCATTTAATTCTGTATTTAGTTGCTTTATTGAAGTTCACCATTGGGTTTAGAACAGCAGTCACTAATAATTTAGTAAAAAGAGTTCAGAATTTGGAGTTAGAATTAAAAGGTTAAAATACGTGTGTTTGTCACTTACTGTAGAACTCTGGAGAAGTTATATATCTTTACCACTCAAAATGTGGTCTGTGGGCAAAAAATATGAGACATCACTTAGGAGTTTGTTAGAAATGCAAATGTCTTATCCAACCCTAGACATATTAAATCAGAATCTGTAAGTTAACAAGATCTCCATATTGAGAAGCAACATTATATCTTCAACTTTGAAACTTAATTTCTTTATATGTAAAGTGCAGACAGTCCCCCATTTAGGATGCTTTGACTTAGGATTTTTATCTTTATGATATGCATTCAGTAGAAACCATACTCCAAATTGTGCATTTTGATATTTTCTTAGGCTAGCCATATGTGGTATGTACTCTTTTGTGATGTTGGGCAGCAGCAGAGCCATAGCTCCCAGTCAGTCACATGATTATAGGGTAAAACCCATATAACCATGCTGTTTTTCACTTTTCGTACAGTATTCAATATACAAGATATTCAACATTATATTATAAAATAGGTTTTGTGTTAGGTAATTTTGCCCAAATTAGGCCAATGTAAATGTTCTGAGCATGTGTAAGTTAGACTCGGCTAAGCTGTGATGTTTGGTATATTAGATTATTGTATGTATTTTTGACTTATTATGTTTTCATCTTATCATGGCCTTATTGGGATGTAACCCTATTTTAAGTTGAGGAAGATCTGTATAGATAAAACTTGTTGTATATATCAACCATCTTGCCATCATCTGACATACCATGTGTTTTACCAATTTATTTTTTATCTACTTCCTGCTATTAGATTGTAAGCTTTGTCTGTTTATTGCCTTATTTCTATATCTAGAACTGTGACTGGCACATAGTAAACATTAATTTTTTTTAATGAACAAATGGAAAAATGCATATTTTGTCAAATCTTGTCATTTTAATTTTAGTCTTTTACTTTCAACTGCCATTTAGAACTAGGAGTACTATTTTAGACAATACAGAAATTTCTGTTGTACAGAAAGTTCTAATAGTGTTACTTATGGTATTGCATTCCATTCACACACATCTTCAGTCTTCAGTTCTACAATTCTGATGTAATCAATTAGCAACTCCCCGTGCCATTTAGAATTTAGTTCAAAATCCTTGATGTAATCTTTAGACATTTTATAGTTTCATATAGTTAAAAAATATATAAAAATATATATATCTTTCTCAGGGTACATTTCTTAGAAGAATCATTTAAACCCACTGCATATATAGCATCCGTCTGGGTCATATTGCCCTCGTAGGACTTGAGGAAAAGCGGAACCCATGAAAATAAGTTGATGATTATTTGCTATGCCATGGAATAAAGTATTTTGTGTCTGATTGAGGAATTGTATGTCTTTTACTAACATACATGACACAATAACAAGTTAATTTGTTAGACTATAACTAGGGCGAAATTAAAGCCCAGTCTGGATAGCATTTTCCCATTATGTTAAAAATTCTTTAAAAATCCAAATTTAAGATCAATATAATATGATATCAAATGGATATGCTATTTTTAAACATTACTCTATTGTTGAGTATTGAAATTATGTCTGCATTAGTTTGCTGTTGTAAATGGCTTTGTAATTAATATCTTTGTAAATATTTGTCTCCTTTGATGACTCTTTTCTTAGGATTCCTTACTAGAAGTATAAAGGTCAAAGAAAAGAAAGCTTGTTATATTTTTTATGCATAAGATAAGTATTTCTTAATTAAACATATATTAGTATTAATAAATTTCTTTTTTTAGGAGATACTTCTAAAGGAGGCATAGCTGTAATTACTCAATCCAGCTTGAAACCAGGTATCACTACTACTCCTAGAGAATCAGATACTGGATCTCTATTATCCTTGTTCCCTGAGGACTTTCCTCAATTGGCTTTAAGATCTCAAGAGATTACTATTGGTCAACACTCTGATACACTCCACCAACAGGAATTGGTAGGAAGTCATAAAACTGAAGAGACTCCAAAAGTTTCAACTCTTCCTAAACTAGATGACCAGAACACTGGGATATCAACAGTACCTTCTAGTTCCTACTCACAAAGAGGGAAGCCCAGTATTTTACACCAACAGTCCTTGCCAGACAGTTATCTAGCTGAAGAGGCTCTTAAAGTTGCAGCTCTTCCGGAAACTACTGACCAGAAGACTAGCATACCTACAGTCCTTCCAGGTTCCTACTCACTTGGAGAGAAGTGTAATATTTTCCACCCTGAGAATTTGCCAGAGAGTCATCTAACTGAAGAGGCTATAAGAGTTTCGGCTTTTTCTGGTCTTGCTGACCAGAAGACTGACATACCTACAGTCCTTCCAAGTTCCTATTCGCTCAGAGAAAAGCACAATATCTTTTACCAACAGGCCTTGCCAGACAGTCATCTAACTGAAGAGGCTGTTAGAGTTTCAGCTGTTCCTGGTCCTGCTGATCAGAAGACTTGCATACCTATAGTCCTTCCAGGTTCCTACTCACTTGGAGAGAAGCACAAAATCTTCTGCCAACAGGCCTTGCCAAATAGCCATCTAACTAAAGAGACTCTAAAAGTTTCAGCTGTTCCTGGTCCTGTTGAACAGAAGAGTGTAATACCTATAGTCCTTCCAGGTTCCTACTTACTTGGAGAGAAACGTAATATTTTCCACCCTCCGACATTGCCAGAGTGTCATCTAACTGAAGAGGCTGTAAGAGTTTCGGCAGCTGTTCCTGGTTCTGTTGACCAAAAGACTGGCATACCTACAGTCCTTCCAGGTTCCTTTTCACTTGGAGAGAAGGCCAGTATCTTTCACCAACAGGCCTTGCCAGAGAGTCATCTAACTAAAGAGGCTCTAAGAGTTTCAGCTGTTCCTGGTCCTGTTGACCAGAAGACTGGCATACCTACTGTCCTTCCAGGTTCCTACTCACCTGGAGAGAACCGTAATATATTCCAACCTCAGACTTTGCCAGATGGTCATCTAACTGGAGAGGCTGTAAGAGTTTCAGCTGTTCCTGGTCCTGTTGATCAGAAGACTGGCATACCTACAGTCCTTCCAGGTTCCTACTCACTTGGAGAGAAACGTAATATTTTCCACCCTCAGACTTTGCCAGGCATTCATCTGACTGAAGAGGCTCAAAGAGTTTTGGCTGTTCCTGGTCCTGCTCATGAGAAGCCTGGCATACCTACAGGCCTTGCAGGTTCCTACTCACTTGGAGAGAAGCGTAATATTTTCTACCCTCAGACCTTGCCACAGAGTCATCTAACTGAAGAGGCTCTAAAAGTATTGGCTGGTCCTGGTCCTGCTAACCAGAAGACTGGCATATCTACAGGCCTTCTAGGTTCCTACTCACTTGGAGAGAAGTGTAACATTGTCCACCCTGAGACTTTGTCAGGCAGTCATTTAACTGAAGGGACTCAAAGAGTTTTGGCTGTTCCTGGTCCTGTTGACCAGAAGACTGGCATACCTACAATCCTTCCAGGTTCCTACTCACTTGGAGAGAAACGTAATATTTTCCACCCTGAGAATTTGCGAGACAGTCATTTAACTGAAGAGGCTCTAAGAGTTTCAGGTGTTCCTAGTCCTGCTGACCAGAAGACTGACATACCTGCAGGCGTTGCAGGTTCCTACTCACTTGGAGAGAAGCGTAATATTTTCTACCCTCAGACCTTGTCACAGAGTCATCTAATTGAAGAGGCTATAAGAGTTTCTGCTTTTCCTGGTCCTGCTGACCAGAAGACTGGCATACCTACAGGCCTTGCAGGTTCCTACTCACTTGGAGAGAAGTGTAATATTGTCCACCCTGAGACTTTGCCAGACAGTCATTTAACTGAAGGGAGTCAAAGAGTTTTGGCTATTCCTGGTCCTGTTGACCAGAAGACTGGCATACCTAGAGTCCTTCCAGGTTCCTACTCACTTGGAGAGAAGCGTAATATTTTCCACCCTGAGAATTTGCCAGACAGTCATCTAACTGAAGAGGCTCTAAAAGTGTTGGCTGGTCCTGGTCCTGCTGACCAGAAGACTGGCATACCTACAGGCCTTCCAGGTTCCTACTCACTTGGAGAGAAGCATCATATTTTCCACTCTGAGAATTTGCCAGACAGTCATCTAACTGAAGAGGCTCTAAAAGTTTTGGCTGTTCCTGGTCTTGCTGACGAGAAGACTGGCATACCTACTGTCCTTCCAGGTTCCTACTTACTTGGAGAGAAGCATCATATTTTCTACTCTAAGAATTTGCCAGACAGTCCTCTAACAGAAGAGGCTATAAGAGTTTCTGCTTTTCCTGGTCCTGTTGACCAGAAGACTGACATACCTACAGGCTTTCCAGGTTCTTACTCACTTGAAGAGAAGCATAATACTGTCCACCCTGAGATTTTGCTGGACAGTCTTCTGACTGAAGAGGCTGTTAGAGTTTTGGCTGTTCCTGGTCCTGATGACCAGAAGGCTGACGTACCTACAGGCCTTCCAGGTTCCTACTCACTTGGAGAGAAGTGTAATATTGTCCACCCTGAGACTTTGCCAGACAGTCATCTAACAGAAGAGGCTGTAAGAGTTTCAGCTGTTCCTGGTCCTGTTGACCAGAAGACTGGCATACCTACAGGCCTTCCAGATTCCTACTCACTTGGAGAGAAGCATAGCATTTTCCACCCTGAGATTTTGCCAGGTAATCATCTAACTGAAGAGGCTGTTAGAGTTTTGACAGTTCCTGGTCCTCCTGACCAGAAGACTGACAGACCTACAGGCCGTCCAGGTTCCTACTCACCTAGAGAGAAGCATAATATTTTCTACCCTCAGACCTTGCCAGAGAGTCCTCGAACAGAAGAGGCTCTAAGAGTTTCAGCTGTTCCTGGTCCTGTTGACCAGAAGACTGGCAGACCTACAGTCCTTCCAGGTTCCTACTCACCTGGAGAGAAGCATCATATTTTGCACCCTGAGACTTTGCCAGACAGTCATCTAACAGAAGAGTCTCTGAAAATTTCAACTGTTCCTGTACCTACTGACCAGAGGACTGAGAAAATAATAGTACCCTCTGCTTCCCTTTCACAAAGAGAGAAGCATGTTATTTTCTCTCAACAACAGTTGTCAGATGGTGATCTAACTGCACAGGTTCTGAAAGCTTCAGTTGCTCCTGGACCAGCTGATCAAAACATTGGACTACCTACATTATCTTCAAGTTCCTACTCACTTGGAGAGAAGCACTGTATCTGTTACCAACAGGCCTTGCTAGATAGTCATTTAATTGAACAGGCTCAGAAAGTTGCAGCTGTTCCTAGACCAGCTGATCAGAAGACTAGGATACCTTTGGCATCCTCTACTTCTTACTTACAGGGAGAGAGACCCCATATTTTCTGTCAACAGACATTGCCAGAAAGTGATCTAACTGAACAGGCCCTGAAATATTCTCCTGGATCTGCTGAGCAGAAGACTGGAATACCAACGTTAACCTCTACTTCTTATTCACATAGAGAGAAGTCCAGTATATCCCACCAACAGGAGTTGCCAGATAGTCCTCTAGCTGAACAGGCTCAGAAAGTTCCAGCTGTTCCTGGACCAGCTGAAAAAAAGAGTGGGTCACTATCAGAAGCTTCTAATTTCTCCTCACGTAGAGAGAAGCACAGTATTTTCTACCAACAGGAGTTTCTAGGCAGTTCTCTAATTGAACCGGCTCAGAAAGTTTCACCTGTTCCTGGTCCTACTGACCAAAAGCCTGAGATATCAACAGTAACCTCTACTTACTCCCATGTAGAAAAGCCCTTTATTTTCTACCCACAGGGCTTACCAGACAGTCCTCTTCCTGAGGAAGCTCTAAAAGTTACAGCTGTTTCTGAACCAGCTGACCAACAGACTGGCACACCAGTAGTTCCCTCTTCTTCCTACTCACCTGGAGAGAAACCCATTATTTTCTACCCACAGAGCTTGACAGACGTTTATCTCACTCAAGAGGCTCTGAAAGTTTCAGCCATATCTGGATCAGCTGACTGGAAGACTGGAATACCAACAGTATCCTCTACTTCCTACTCAAATAGAGAGAAGCCCATTATTTTCTACCCTCAGGGCTTGACAGATAGTCAGCTACCTCAGGAGGCTCTGAACATTTCAGCCATTCCTGGACCAGCTGACCAGAAGACTGGGTTACCGTCAGAACCTTCTAGTTCCTACTCACTTAGAGAGAAGCCCGTTATTTTCTACCCACAGGACTTGACAAATAGTCAGCTACCTCAGGCGGCTCTGAAAGTTTCAGCCATTCCTGGACCAGCTGACCAAAAAACTGGGTTACCATTAGAAGATTCTAGTTCCTACTCACATAGAGAGGAGCCCATTATTTTCTACCCACAGGGCTTGACAGACAGTCAGCTACCTCAGGCAGCTCTGAAACTTTCAGCTATTCCTGGACCAGCTGACCAGAAGACTAGGTTACCATCAGAACCTTCTAGTTCCTACTCATTTAGAGAGAAGCCCATTATTTTCTACCCACAGGGCTTGACAGATAGTCAGTTACCTCAGGAGGCTCTGAACGTTTCAGCCATTCCTGAACCAGCTGACCAGAAGACTGAGTTACCATCAGAACTTTCTAGTTCCTACTCACCTGGAGAGAAGCCCATTATTTTCTACCCACAGGGCTTGACAGATAGTCAGTTACCTCAGGAGGCTCTGAAAGTTTCAGCTCTTCCTGGACCAGCTGACCAGAAGACTGGGTTGCCATCAGAACCTTCTACTTCCTACTCACCTAGAGAGAAGCCCAGTATTTTCTACCCACAGGACTTGACAGATAGTCAGCTACCTCAGGAGCCTCTGAACATTTCAGCTATTCCTGGACCAGCTGATCAGAAGACTGGGTTACCATCAGAATCTTCTAGTTCCTACTCACCTAGAGAGAAGCCCATTATTTTCTACTCACAGGGCTTGATAGATGGCCAGGTACCTCAGGTGGCTCTGAAAGTTTCAGCTACTCCTGGACTAGCTGACCAGAAGACTGGGTTGCCATCAGAACCTTCTAGTTCCTATTCACCTAGAGAGAAGCCCATTATTTTCTACCCACAGGGCTTGACAGACAGTCAGCTACCTCAGGAGGCTTTGAAAGTTTCAGCTATTCCTGGACCAGGTGATCAGAACACTGGGTTACCATCAGAACCTTCTACTTCCTACTCACCTAGAGAGAAGCCCAGTATTTTCTACCCACAGGACTTGACAGATAGTCAGCTACCTCAGGAGCCTCTGAACATTTCAGCTATTCCTGGACCAGCTGATCAGAAGACTGGGTTACCATCAGAATCTTCTAGTTCCTACTCACCTAGAGAGAAGCCCATTATTTTCTACTCACAGGGCTTGATAGATGGCCAGGTACCTCAGGTGGCTCTGAAAGTTTCAGCTACTCCTGGACTAGCTGACCAGAAGACTGGGTTGCCATCAGAACCTTCTAGTTCCTATTCACCTAGAGAGAAGCCCATTATTTTCTACCCACAGGGCTTGACAGACAGTCATCTACCTCAGAAGGCTCTGAAAGTTTCAGCTATTCTTGGGCCAGGTGATCAGAAAACTGGGTTACCATCAGAACCTTCTAGTTCGTACTCACACAGAGAGAAGTCTAATATTTTTTACGCACAGGAGTTCCCAGGCAGTCATCTAACTGAAGAGGCTCTGAAAGTTTCAGCTTTTTCTGGAATAGGTGATCAGAAGACTGGGATACCCACGGTACTTTCAAGTTCCTACTCTCTTGGAGGGAAGCCCATTATTTTCTACCAGCAGGCCTTATCAGATAGACATCTCACTGATGAGGCTCTGAATGTTTCAGCTTCTTCTGGACCAGCTGACCAGGAGACTGGGATACCAGCAGTATCTTCTGTTTCTTACTCTCATAGAGAGAGGCCCAGTATTTTGTACCAACAGCCCTTCTCAGACAATCAGTTGGCTATAGCAGCTCTGAAAGTTTCAGCTGTTTCTGGGTCAGATGATCAGAAGACCAGAAAACCAACAATTACTTCTGCTTCTTACTCAGAGAGAGAGAAGCCAATCATTTATCATCAGGAGTTGCCAGATCTTACTCAAGAGTCTTTACGTGTTTTCAGGATTCCTGGACTAGGTGACCAGAGGACTGGAGTAACAGCAGTAACCTCTACTACTTATTCACATAGAGAGAAGCCTGTCATTTCTTATCAGCAGGAGTTGCCAGCTCCTAACGAAGGTGCTTTAAAAGTTTTAGGGGCTCCTGGGTCAGCTGACCAGCAGTCTGGGATACAATTTGGACCCTCTACTTCCTATTCACATAGAGAGAGCCCCATCTTTTCTTACCTGGAGTCTCCAGACAATACTGAAGAAACTCTGAAAGTTTCAGCTGTTTCTGGACCAGGTGACCAGAAGACTGGGATACATATAATTCCCTCTAGTTCCTACTCGTATAGAGAGAAGGACAGTATTTTTTACCAGGAGGAGCTGCCAGATGTTACTGAAGCAGCTTTAAAAGTTTTTGCTCTTCCTGGACCTGCTGACCAGAAGACTGAGATACCAACAGGACCTTCTAGCTCTTACTCACATGAAGAGAAACTGAAGATTTCACCTGTGATTTTACCATATGACCAGGAGACTGAATTACTAACAGCTCCCCTTAGTTTCTACTCACAAAGAGAAAAGCCCAAAATTTCAACTGTGATTGGATCAGATAACCAGAAGACTCCATTACTGACAGTTCTTCATAAGTCCTATTCTCAGAAAGTAAAGCCCGGTATTTTCTTTCAACATCAGCTGTCCGATAAACATCAAAGTGAGAATACTTTGAAGATATCAGCTGTCTCTGAATCAATTGATGTGAATTCTGGGATACCAATATCTCTTTCTAGTTCCTATTCCCACAGAGAGAAATCTAATAATTTCTACCCACAGGAATTGCCAGACAAACATCTAGGGGAAGGTGCACTGAAGGTTTCAACAATTCCTCTACCAGCCGACCAGAAAAGTGTGTTACCAACTCCTCCTAGTTCCTTTTCACACAGAGAACAACCAGATATTTTCTGTCAACAGGATTTTCCAGATAGACACCTAACACAGGATGCTCTGATGTTCTCGAGTGGTGTTGGGCAAGTTGATCAGATTACTGGGTTATCCACAGTTACCCCTGGTACTTATTCATATAGTGAGAAGCAGAAGCTAGTTTCAGACCATGTTCAAATGCTAATAGATAATTTAGATTCTTCTAACTCCAGTGTTACCTCAAACAGTATGCCTTTAAATTCTCAGGCTGATGGTAGAGTAATAATAAGTAAGCCAGAATCTTCAAGTTTTGAAGATGTTAGGTCTGAGGAAATTCAGGATAGAAGCAGTGGTTCCAAAACTCTTAAAGAGATTCGGACCCTTTTAATGGAGGCAGAAAATATAGCACTGAAACGATGCAATTTTCCTGCTCCCCTTGTCCCCTTCAGAGATGTTAGTGATATTTCATTTATACAATCTAAGAAGGTGGTTTGCTTCAAAGAACCTCTCACAGCTGATGAGTATAATGGTGATTTGCCTCAGAGACAACCATTTATAGAGGAAAGCCCAAGCAACAAGTGCATACAGAAGGATATTAGCACACAGACAAATCTAAAATGCCAGAGAGGCATTGAGAATTGGGAGTTTATTAGTTCAACTACAGTTAGAAGTCCTCTACAGGAAGCAGAAAGCAAAGCCAGAGTGACCGTAGACGAAACCCTTCGGCAATATAGAGCAGCCAAATCTGTAATGAGATCTGAACCTGAAGGGTATAGTGGAACCATTGGGAATAAAATTGTAATACCTATGATGACTATCATTAAAAGTGATTCAAGTAGTGATGCCAGTTCCTGCTCATGGGACAGTAATTCACTGGAGTCAGTTTCTGATGTTCTTCTAAACTTCTTCCCATATTCTTCACCCAAGACAAGCCTAACAGATAGTAGAGAAGAGGGTGTGTCAGAGAGTGATGATGGTGGTGGTAGCAGTGTAGATTCACTGGCTGCACATGTCAGAAACCTTCTGAAATGTGAATCCTCATTGAATCATGCTAAACAAATACTCAGAAATGCAGAGGAAGAGGAATGTCGAGTACGAGCACGAGGTAGGAGCTGGTATTTTGTTATAAAGGTCAAGCTTATAAACATTATAGTTTAATAATCTGTTTAAAGTTAAGTGGAGTCTAAATTTATTTTCTTGTAGGACTATTAGAATTATTACATTTTCGGCCATAATCCAGAATAAGTCCATTTAACCAATAATATAACTAAGTCACAGTATTAATAGTACTAATCTGAGTTTAGGTCTTTAGGTAGGTTCTGAAGCCTGAAGGAGCATAAGGAGATAGGTTGGTTTTCCAGATTCCTAAAGTTTCTCGTGTTTCCTTAATCCTCCTATTATAGTATTCTTTTTTTTTTAAGTTTTTACTTATTCATGAGAGAGACACAGAGAGAGGCAGAGACATAGGCAGAGGGAGAAACAGGCTCTCTGTGAGTAGCCTGATGCAGGACTCCATCCTAGGACCCCAGGATCACACCCTGAGCCAAAGGCAGATTCTACTCAACCATTGAGCCACTCAGGTGTCCTAGTGCTCTATTTTGGAGGCAGAAAAAAAAATGGAAATAATTTGCTCTGCTCTAAATCACACTGTATCATAAAACTATATATATGTCTCCCTTTTTTAATTTTTTAAAATTTTTTTCCCTTTTAAAAAATATTTATTATTATTTATTTATTTATTCATGAGAGACACACACAGAGAGAGAGGCAGAGGCACAGGCAGATGGAGAAGCAGGCCCCATGCAGGAAGCCCGACGCAGGACTCGATCCCGGGTCTCCAGAATCACACCCTGGGCCGAAGGCGGCGCTAAACTGCTGAGCCACCCAGGCTGCCCTGTCTCCCGTTTTCTAATAAAATTCTTAGAGCATATTTCATTAGAAAAAACAAGTAAACTTGAGTTAGAGCTTTGAAAGAGGACATTTACTAATCCCACTAATCTCTAATACTAGAATACCATTAAAAAAGAAAAAAAGATTTAGGGTAAAATGGGGAATATATTTTAGAGAGCAACTTATAAATAGTTCAGGCCTACCTGATTTGTTAATAAGTTTTTCCTTGAGATTAACTACCTATGCCATTCCTTTTATTACTTGCATATTCTGATTCCAGAAAATTCCAAGTTTTATTGATTATGGTTAAGTATCAGCTCCCATGGAAGTGACAGCAACTGTAGTAGACACTAATAGGGGAGGAAAAGGGACCATCCTGATTGGAAGGAAGATAAAAATAATTGAAAATCATAGTTAAAGTGGCCTTCTTGGAGAAATATCTGTAAAACCTGGTTTTTAAAAATCACATGTTTCAGTGAAGTGATTGCTCTTAAGAACTTATAATAGTTATATAATTGAGAGCACATACTATTTGCTAAGTGTTGTGGTAGGCATTTAGCTGGATATACTGATGGTTTTCTGTGCTCTTATAATCACTGAAAATTATTTTTACATTGCATTATCTTAAGTGTTTTATGTTTTCTTTTCAGCCTGGAATCTGAAATTTAATCTGGCTCATGAGTGTGGGTACTCCATTTCAGAATTAAATGAAGATGACAGGAGAAAAGTAGAAGAGATCAAAGCAAAGTTGTTCAGTCATGAGAGAACAACTGACTTGTCCAAGGTATCAAAGAAAGCTAGAAATGAAGAGAAAAAATGTGGAAGAAAAGGCACTGGAGTTTGTATCTCTTACTTGGGCATTGTTGATACCAGCTGAGTCATTGTTAGTCTTTGGATAGAGTGTTAAGAGTCTAATTTCTTAAAAGTTAATGTTTAAGGGCTAGATTCAATAGGTTTTAATAAATTCCAAACTCATCTATTGAAAAGAATTTATCTCCTTAGGAAAATAAGAATAGATTTGCTTTGTATTAGTATTTTCTCTTCATGGTGATAACTTGAGGTGCATATGAAGTCCAGCCTTTTTCAGATTATCTACTTAAGAGCACAAAGTTTTGATAGCTTGTGTTTATTTTTTTTTTTTTAAGAATTTTTATTTATTTATGATAGTCACACAGAGAGAGAGAGAGGCAGAGACACAGGCAGAGAGAGAAGCAGGCTCCATGCACCGGGAGCCCGATGTGGGACTCGATCCCGGGTCTCCAGGATCGCACCCTGGGCCAAAGGCAAGCGCTAAACCGCTGCGCCACCCAGGGATCCCGATAGCTTGTGTTTAAATGATTTTAATAGTACTTACTTTCCTTCAGTTGTGACCTATTTCATGCATAGTAAAGAATGTATATGAAACATACAGAAAGAATAAGGAAAATAAAAATACTTCCTGCATATTGGCCAACTAGCTTGATAAATGGGATGTTCCCAGGTACCATAGAAGTCCTGTGTGTCCTCTCGCCAGACATATTTTTTTGACTTCTTGTTCTGACATGTATTGATTTTCTCTTGTTGTTCAGTGTAGTTTGGAATTCTTTAATAGATGGAATCAACATGGTATATATTCTGAGAATTGCATTTTTTACGGACACTTGGGTTTTTGAGATTTTTCTGTGTAGATGTATGTAGTTTTGGTTTATTCATTTTAGTGTTGAAAGTATTCTAGTGTAAGAATATATCATGGTTTGTCCATTCTCTTGTGGATAGGGCATTTGGTCTGTTTTATGAATAGTAATAGGGTACAGTAATACTCTATCTTACAAGGTTTTGGTATGTGTTATATGAGATAGTGCTTAGTGGAATGTGTGATATCTAGTTCTCAATTTTCAGCTATTATTCCTCTTAACACTATAAAATTTAATAATGCATAGACTTTATGGCCTAATTCACAGTTTTTCAGAAAATTTTTTGTCAGTGATACAGCATAAATATTGGTTTATCTTTTTTTGGAAAAGTTTTTTAAAAGTATGAATTAATTTATGTGTATGTTTGAGACCATCACCACCATCCCATTTCCAGAAATTCTTTCATCTTGCAAGACTGAAACTTTGTACTTATTAAATAATTTCTCTTCCTTTCACCCTTTCCCTAGCCCCTGGCAACCACCATTCTTTCTGTTTTTGTGATTTTAATTAATTCCTCATATAGGTGGAATCATACAGTATTATGACATTTGATGTAAATGACATTATGTCATTTAGCATGATGAACTTAAAGGTTCCTCTATGTTGTACCTTATGTCAGAATTTCCTTAAAGTGAATCTCTTAGAGATAAGTATATAGTTGGATAATGGTTTTTTTAGCCATTCTGTCAATCTCTGATGTTTTGTTTGAGTTTGGTTCATTTATATTTAAAGTAATTACTGATAGGTGAGACCCACTTCTGTCATTTTACTATTTGTTTTCTATGTCAGGGAACTGATTTTTATGTTCAGGTACAACTCCAAACCATAAGATTATTTACCTTACTCCCCTTTGGCCCACAGAAGTGCAGAGGACAACAAATTACATTTTGTAGGCTCCTAACAACACCCTCTTACATTGCTTGCTGGCATAAAACTACTCAGATCATTTTGATTCCTCCCAACCTATGATAACAAAATCCACTTTGCATGTACAGATTGATATGCTTACCAGGATACTATCTTCTCTCTTTTCCCTTTTTTGTTCAGTAACTTCTGAATTCAGGAAAAGTTTGAAGTCAGTAATTTATATTATTGTGGTATATGAACCAATATCTCTTACATTTATAAAGAAAACCATAAAACAAACTTTTTTTTTTTTAAAGATTTTATTTATTTATTCATAGAGACATAGAGAGAGAGAGAGGCAGAGACAGGCAGAGGGAGAAGCAGGCTCCATGCAGGGAACCCGATGTGGGACTCAATCCCGGGTCTCGGGATCCCTGGGTGGCGCAGCGGTTTGGCGCCTGCCTTTGGCCCAGGGCGCGATCCTGGAGACCCGGGATCGAATCCCACGTCGGGCTCCCGGTGCATGGAGCCTGCTTCTTCCTCTGCCTATGTCTCTGCCTCTCTTTCTCTCTCTGTGACTATCATAAATAAATAAAAATTAAAAAAAAAAAAAAAATCCCGGGTCTCCAGGATCACACCCTGGGCTGCAGGCGGCGCCAAACCACTGCACCACTGGGGCTGCCCCCATAAAACAAATTTAAGAGTAAAAATAAAACAATCTAAGAAAGTAGTAAGAAAGAAATTATAAACTCAAATGTATCAATTAATATACTAGAAAACAGGAAAATAATAGAATTGAACATTAACACTTGGAGTTGAATCTTGGAAAAATTCCAAGTCAATAGGCAGTCTCTAGATTACAAGAAAATAATTCAGTGTTCTAAATGAAAACAAGTATGCTAAGCATACCATTGAGAAATTTTGAAATCATAAGAGTATATAATGTATACCTCTTTTTTATTAGGTTTTAAAATTTTCATGAATTGGCTGATTTTCTAGGAATATGTCAATAAATCTTAAATAGATTAGATATCAAGATAGAATATCCTTGTCTCTCACAGATTTATCTTCCAAGAAAAGTAGCTGACCTGTTATGTGATGTTATAGAGTGTTTCCTAGGTATAATATTGGTAGTGTGGTTATATGACAGGTGAGTGTCCCTGTTCTTAGGAGATGCAGTGGTGAACTATTTAGAATTGAAGTGTCATATACCAATGTTTGTAGAGAGACATAAAACTGATAGGGAGAATGTTCAATTGTTGAATCATGGCAGAAGGAATTCCAGTGTTTATTTTAACATTGTACCAACTTTTTAAAAATAGACTATTTTTTAGAGTTGTTTAAAATTCACAGCAAAATTGAGAGGAAGATACAGAGATTTCCCATAGACCTCCTCCCCCAAAACATGCACTTCCATTGCCATTATCAACATCCCCCACCAGAGTAGTACATCTGTTAAAATTGATGAACCTGCATTGAAATATCATAATAACCCAAAGTCCATAGTTTACATTAGGGATCACCCCAGGAGTTATATATTTTATGGATTTGGACAAATAATGTAATCACATGTATCCATTGCTGTATCATATAGAATATTTTCACCACCCTAATGTTCCTCTGTACTCTGATCTGTTCAGTTCTGCCACCTTCTCATTTCCACTGGAGCCACTGATCTTTCTGCTGTCTCTACACATGTTGTGTAGTTGGACTAAAACAGTATTTAGCCTTTTCACATTGGCTTCTCTGGATTGTTAATATGTGTTTAAGCTTCATCCATGGATTTCCGTGACTTGATAGCTCATTTCTTTTTAACACTGAATAATATTCCATTGTCTTGATGTGCCACACAGTTTATTTCACCTACTAAGGAACATCTTGGTTGCTTCCAAGTTTTGGCAATTATGAATAAAGCTGTTTCCTTACGCAATTTTTTTTGTGTGGAAATCAGACTTTTCAGTTTTTTTTGGTTATCAGGGGGTGCAAATGTTAGATTATATGGTAGGAGTATGTTTAATTTTGTAAGAAACCATCAAGCTGTTTATAACTTTGTGTGTGAGCTCTACTTCAATTAAAAAAAAAATCACAGACACACACATTTACATAGGGAGAAAAAAAAAACCACCAAAATTGTCTCAGAAAGTGGCTGTACCATTTTTTTATTTCTCCCAACAGTGAATAAGAGTTCTCGTTGCTCCACATCTTTGTCAGCATTTGGTATTGTCAGTATTCTGGATTTTGGCCATTGTCATAGGTGTGGAGTAGAGTCTTGTTTTATTAATTATTTTTTATTTATAGATTTTATTCATTTGAGAGAGAGAATGCATGAGCTGGGGGAGGAATAAAAGGAAAGGGAGAGGGACAAAGAGACTCTTGCTGAGTAGGATACAAAACTGACTGAGCCACCCGGGGTGCCCAGAAGTTTTGTTTTAATTTGCATTTCCCTGATGACATTTGATGTAAAACATCCTTTCATTTGCTTATTTTCCAACTGTGTGTTTTCTTTGGTGAATTGTCTTAATGTCTTTGGCCCATTTTTAAATTGGGTTGATTTCTTATTTATTCTTTAGAATTCTTTGTATATTTTAGATAATAGTCCTTTATCAGATGTGTCTTTTGCAAATATTCTCTTCCAGTCTGTGGCTTGTCTTTTCATTCTTGACATTATTTTTCATAGGACAAAAGTTTTAATTACAATGAATTCAGCTTATTAATTATTCTTTCAAGGATTGTTCCTTTGATGTTATATCTAAAAAGTCATCACTGTATCCGTGGTCATCAAGGTTTTCTTCTGTTATGTTCTAGGTTTTGTGTTTTACCTTTAGGTCTATGCTCCAGTTTGAGTTAATTTTTGTGAGAAGTTTTTAATTGGTGTCTAGATTCATTTTTTTTGCATGTGGATACTCGGTTCCAACACCATTTGTAGAAAGGACTGTCTTTGCTCCATGCCTTTGTCCTCTTGTCAAAGATCAGTTGACTGTATTTATATGATCTGTTTCTGGGCTTTGTTCTGTTCTTTGATATATTTGTCTATTGTTTGATCAGTACGACACTGTCTTAATTACTGTAGCTTTATTTTCAGTCTTGATGTTGGATAGTGTCAGTCCTCTAACTTTGTCCTTCTTCTATAGTATAGCATTGGGTATTTTGAATCTCTTGTTTTTCCAGATAAACTTTAGAAATAGTATGTCAATATCTATAAAATAACTTGCTGGGATTATGATTAGGATTGCAATGAATCTATAGGTCAAGTTAAGGGGAACAA